TGTTTGGTCTGAGGCAGGATTTGAACTCAGGTCCTCCTGACTCCAGGGCCAGTGGTCTATCTGCTGTACCACCTAGCTGCCCCAGAAGATACTTCCTGACTCTAGGCCTGACTTTCTCTCCACTGTGCCATCTAGGGGCAGATTTAGATAATGATAGGATAAAAAGGAATGAAGACAAATGAATGTGAAATTTTTTTAGATTAAATGGAGCAGGAATCTGGTGTTTTAGGAATTGGTGATACTCAAGGACATGGCTATTGGCTTCACCTGGGAGGAGTAGGAGCTGCTGGGCTCTGGTCAGAAGGCTCTATACAGAGATGTGATATTAGAGAACTATAGAAACCTGGTCTCCCTGGACAAGGAAAACTTCCTTTAAAAAACATAGATTTTTTTTATCAATATCTTTTGTTTTTACATTGTCTAGATTTCCCTCTGCATCCCTCTCCTCTGTCCCCCTTTCCAGACAGCCATCCTTTATAATAAAGAATTTTTTAAAAGAGGAAAAAAATTGGCAAAGTTGGTTGATTCCTTTAAAAAAACAGGATTTTATATGCAGTGTCCCACACCTATGGATCCCAACCTCTGCAAAGGCATAAAGGGGAGATGCCTTCTCATGACTCTTCTTTGGGGCCAAGTTTGTTTGTTATATTTTTGCAACATTTTGTTTCATTTGTTTTGTCTTGGCCTTTCTCTTCAGTTACATTGTTGTCATTGTGTAGATTTTTTTTTCTTGGCTCTGCATCAGCTCATGGAAATTTTTCGTGCTTCTTTGTATTCATCATGATTGTTGTTTGTTATGGTGGGGTGACTTTCTGTTACATTCACATACCACAGCTGGTTTAGCCATCCGCAGGGCAGCTTTGTGCTCTGACTCAGAATCTGCCCCTTAGGATTGTATTGCCTCCTAGGTGTCTGAAGCTCATAGACTAACCGTGGGGTGGCAAGCAAGGACCAGATATTTGTGATGCTTCAAGAGTAAGAGACAGGCCGCTGTTGTCCGCTGTTTCCAGATGAAAGGCTTGACATAGTACAACTGGCACTTGTCACAACCCTCCTGGGGCCATCCCTGGGGCCTTACATTCCCCATCTTCTGTTCTCACCCCAACTCCATCATTCCTACTAGCCCGGCATCTCAGTGCAGGTGCTTGAAGAAGAGACTTCCAGACCATTCCTCAGGTATTATCAAGCATCTGCGTACAGAATGCTGCGCTAGACAAACGGGGAGCCCATGTTTAGGCAAGCATGGCTGCTGCCTTTAGACTCCCAGCATAGCTGGGGGAGACAACCCCTGACCCCAATTTCTTGTTATTTGGCTCTGCTACATGATGTTCTTTCACTGGAATTCATAAACTGCCCATGTGAAATATTACACAATAAGTGTGCCTTGGAGGGGTGCAGAGTGCTTTCTGAGGTCTGAGGGCTGGAAGGTTATTACTGTCAGATGACTGATGAAGGCTTCTGGGAGCAGGGAGCATTTGAGTTGAGCATCAAAGATGAGGAGATGTTGGGCAAGTTGGAGCTGTGAAAACATGGAGGAACCAAATTGTAGAGGCTGGACTAGGGACACAGACAGTGAGTGTCATCTGAAGTGCAGAGTGCATGGAGGGGAGTTTGAAATGAGGTCAAGAAGATGGGCTGGTGCCGAAATCTAGAGGACCTTGAATGCCAGGCTGAGGAATTTGAATATTGCTCAATAGCAAATATGGAGCTGCGCAGAGATTTTCAGTAGAGAAATTATGTGTCCAGTCCTGTGCACAAGGAAAATAAGTCTGACATTGGTGCAAAGCCTAAACTAGAGGTGTGAGAAAGTGATAGGCAGGATGACCTGCCAGGACCTTCTTGCAGTAGCCAAGGTGGGTGTAATGAGGGCCTCTCTGAAGAAGGTGGCCATGGAAATAGAGAAGAAGAAATGAATGGGACAGGACTTGTAGCTGAGACATAGAAGAGGGAAAAGTCAAAAGTGACATCAAAGATTCAAATATGAGACACTGAGTGAACCACAGGGCTGTTGGAAGAAATAATGAAGTCAGAAACAGCTGGGGGAGAGGGACCATCATTTAATGAATCACTAAGCATTTATTAAGCACCCAGTATGTGCTGGGCACTGTGCTAAGTGCTGGCTCTGGACATGGTGCATTTGAGTGGCAGCACATTGGGTGGGGATCCTGTAGGCAATTGGAGGTGTGGGTTTGGAGTTTGGGACATTGAGAGGTCACTGGAAAGAGCATGTGGAGATATGGAGAGAGGCAACCACTGATACCATGAGAGGCAATGAAATTACTTAAGGGAGTGGGGGAAGGCAGCTCACAGCAGAATCTTTAGGGAAAGGGTCTCACCTGCAGGCCCTAATTATGATCCCATCTCAGCTCTGGGGCCCATCCTTGGCCTGCCCGGATGTCATTCAGACTCCCTTTGTATCGTTGTTGCCACATCTACCTTCCCTGGAGGAGGAAGAGAGGAGAATTCCCTTTTGAGAAGGTTCTCTGTTCCCAGCATTTTCCTACTTCTTCCTCATGAGCAGGACATCCTGTTTCCAAACCAAATGTGATCTTCCAATTAGAGCAAAGTGAAACACCATGGATGCTGGAGAGAGAAGCACCAAGCAGCATTTTTCCAGGTGAGGGATGAATCTGAGGTAGGTGGGAGTCAATGTAAGCAACAGGTCACAGGGTGAGTGGGGCATGACATGTCTAAAACCTCTCCTCAAATACACAGTGCAGAATTAAAATGTGTGTGTGTATTCTCACATTGGGAATATTTTATATATAATATATGCACAGAATATATATGTGTATATATATATGTAAATTAAATGCTCACATTGAGAATATTTATATATAATTATATAAATATATGTGTATTTATATATAATCATATAAATATATAATATCTATGAAATATGTACATATGTTTTATTTATATGTTACATACTGTGTGTGTGTGTGTGTGTGTGTGTGTGTGTGTGTGTGTGTGTGTGTGTGTGTATTTCCAATGTGGGGTTTGTTTTATTTAGCTATACATGGTTTTTGTAACAGGGGTATTGTTTTTCTTTTTCTTTTCTTTCTTTTTTTCAAGGCAATTGGCTTTAAGTGACTTGGCCAGGCTCACAGAGGACTGTTGGTCTGAGGTCTGCTTTGAACTCAGGTCCTCCTGACTTCAAGGCTGGTGCTCTGTCCACTGTGCCACCTAGCTGCTCCCTGTATTGTTTTTCTTGCTTTCTCAATGTGTGTGGGGTGGGGGGGACAAGCAAGATGGGAAGGAGAGGAGGATCTTCCTTTGAAAAAATAAATTGAATTTAAAATTAAAAAGAGACTTCTTAAGTCTAATAGCATTTCTGAAGTGCTTACTGTGTGCCCTGCCTGTGTTTAGAGGAGCCCAGGCAGGTCGAGAAGGTCTGAGGCTGTGACATAAACCTTTTCACAGATCATTGCCTTCTGATTCTGGTGCCTCCCTCTGGTGATTATTTCCAACTTAGCCAGTCTGTAGTTTGCATGGATCAAGTTGTTCACACGTTGGGTCCCCCACCAGATCTCTCCTTTGCCTTTCTTTGTCACCCCAGCACTCAGGTCAGTGCTGGCCAATAGTAGGTGCTTAATCAATGTTTACCTCAAGCAGTGACTTTCCTGGCATTTTCCCCATTATCCTTCCCTCTGTCTCTGAGAAACTTTTGTGCTCCCTTATTTGTACAGTTTCCCCTTGCACTCAGCAGTCCCCACCCCCCATCCTCCAGTCTCCCTCCCTTTAAGGACACTGTTCCCAGGATCATTCCCTATTGGGCTCATCACTCTCTTACATCCTTGTTCCTTTTCTTCCACTTGCCAGCATCTCTAGTCTGCCCTGTCCTTTTTTCCCTGCTGAAGCAAGACTGATTTGTTGTGCAAACACACAAACAGACCTGATCCATTGAGGATAGGAGAATACAAAACCCTTGGGAGAATGATTTCCTTCAGCTAGCCTTGTGAATGGAAAGTCTCCATTGGTGAGCATTGACCCCCTCCTTCGACATCATGGAGGTGATGCTCACCCTTTGCCAGGGGAAGCCTGGATACAGACGTGGTGCTTGGGTGCTTATGTTTGGGTGCTTGTACTTGGACCCCAATTTCTCCCTAGCCTCAGAAACACTGTCTCTGACAGTTTCTCCCCAGCCCAAGGACACTGTGCCTAGCAATTACTCATGAGTGTGCCCCAACAAGTCCCTTATCTCCCTCCTTGGTGCAGTAACAAGCAGTACCTGAAGGAATTATTAGTTTGAACTGGCTTTGCACTGGGTCATAAAGACATTCTTACCCACTGGACTATCTCTACTACCACCCTACTTCATTGTCTACATCCTGGACTCCTCATTATCTGTATTCTATATCTAAGGCATATGTGTACTCCCTACACCTATCTTGTCAAACAAGACATTGACTAGTGGCAGACTGGACAACTCTCAGTTGTCCCTGACTGCTAGTTTAACTTAGTGACATAGCAGGTCTAAAACCATACGTGTGTGTGGCCCCCCCTTGTGGACTTTTCCCAGTGAACTCTGGGTAAAATGCCTTAGCAGTAGATACAAGAAGTGCATGTTCCTTTAAGAACTGACCACGCCATAACCACTTCCTGATCCCACCCTGAATCACCTAGTTAGCATATTTGACCATGGTTTATTATATTTTATCCTATATAAACTTTAGCTATACTCTTTTAAGATCGCAGATTCCTTAAGAATCCTTGCCTGCTGAGAAGCGTAACAATAAACTTTTTGCAACTTGACTTAAAGATTGCTTGAGTTTGTGAATTCATTCCAGATGACCGGTCTTGTACTTTGGACTTTGAGGGGTCTCAACCCCTCAGACCTCATCAATTCCGCAGAGAAGGAGGAGGGTCTGAGTCCCAAAGCAGGGTAAGGGAAGGAGGGAGAGAGTGATAGAGGAATAGAGGAGGAACTCTCAGGGGTGAACAGCCTGGTGGGTGTGGCCCAGTTGGAATTCTGTCCCTGGGGTGGAGTGTGGAAGCCTGGGAAGATGCCAGAGGGGAAGAAAGGGATCATCTCTGTGGCCAACACATTCCCCTAGGTGGCCAGCAGGGCTTGGGGAGGAGAAGCATGCTGGGGCCTGAGGTCCTGGGTGTAGATGTGATTGGAGGAAAGGCTCACCCTGGGGGCCTCAGGGGCTGGTCTGGGTGGGGCTCTTGAGACTAGGAGGACCCTCCCAGCGTGGGCTGCCTGAAAACAGGAATTTAAGAATTTAGATTGAACTGGCTTCTACCCCTGGAGGTGAAATCTCTCTGCCTTCTTCCCTTGGAACAGAGATCTCTCTGTGTTCCAGCTGCATCCCTGCAGGTTCCTGGTAGGTCTGACAGAGGCTCCTTTTCCATTGACCTTCTCTTCCCTGACTGACTTCCTGGTGTTTGCTATGGTGGTGTTAGAGTTACAGGGCTTCCGTTTCAGCAGAGGGTTATAAAAACAAGTCAAGGAAGCAGTTACACTGCAGGTGGGCCTGGGCTTAGCCAAAAGCTGATGATTCCAAGAAGACCCCAAAATCAAAATGAGAGTGAACCTCTGGCATAGTAACTTTTCCGTCCAGGGTGGGGGTGGGGGGCAATGGTGCAATTGTCGGCACAATAGGGCCGGAACAGGGGGCATTCCAGAACAAATGTAACCCGGAAGGAAAGGACCAATCCAGGCCTGGGAGGTTTGGAACCGAATTTAACTGCATAAAAGCGCACTTGCCCTTGCACTTAGGGCCCGCCCCTCCTGAAGAGGAGTGGAGCCTGCTTCTGGCTAGAAATATCTAAATCCTTTGGACTTTCTCAGTAATAAACTTTCTTGATACTAAATTTTTGGTGCCAAGCGCATTTCTAACAATTTGGCACCCAACATGGGGCCTGATTGCAGACTTCTGAGGGATCAAGGCAAGACATCCTGGGAAGAGTCCTCCCGCTGTATTTCAGTGGTCTCAGTGAGTTGAGCCTTTCCCAACCGAACTCCTGATCTTGGACCACATGTGAGAAGTCCAAGGGATTGGGGAAGCCGCCGGCAGACCAGGAGAGCCAATATATTGGGCAAAGGTAAGAAACAATCTTTGCTGGTATCAAACTCCTGAGGTCCGGGGATCTGATCACTTAGCCTTGAACTAGGAACAGATTCAGAGATGGGAGGGGCAAATTCGAAGGTACCTGGGAAAGGGGGAGAAATCCCCAGGACGACTTTCCTTCAGATAGCCCTCTGGGAAGGATGTCAGAAAGTTGGGAGGACACTCCCAGGACTAGAGGGAAGAAAATGACTAAATATTGTTGCCAGGAGTGAACTAAGGAACCTATCCTGGCACCATCAGTGTTTTGGCTTAAATTTGGATCAGATGAGGATTGGATTTGTCAACTGCTAAATCTGTATGTAAATGATGAGAGGCCTCTCAAGAAGAAAAAGGTTATGCTGGTTGCTGGGACCCAGGGGCTATAGCCCCAACAGGGGAGGATGTATTCTTAAGTCAAGTAAGAAGAAAAGAAAAGGAGAAAAAAAGAAAAGCCTCGGAACCCATGCAAAGGGGATCCTGGAACAAAATGAGTTTCTTTTGACTGGTCAGGGTTAGAAGTAGAATCATGCACACCTTGTCTGTCTGTCTATGGGTGTTTTGTGTCGGCCAGAAAAATTTTTGGGTAATTTTTGAGGTCTGAGATTGGAACAGGAACAGTGGGAAAGAGCTCCCCTCTCAGGCTTTCTGGGGGAGATCGAGATTAGAATGAAAAAGGCAGAGAGAGAATCTCCCAGGAGAGGAATTTGACTGAGTAAAAGCACACTTGCCCTTGCACTCAGGGGTGGAGCCCCCTTCTGGCCAGAAACATCAAAATCCTCTGGACTTTCTCTGTAATAAACTTTCTTGATACTAAATTTGGGGTGTCAAGCATATTTCTAACAGTGGGAAGGGGGGGTGCTCCCTGTCCCTGCTACTTGTCCAGGCTCTCCATCACATCCAGAGATCCAGGGGTGCCACCCCCAACTTTACATTTGGGTCACAGGTGCCCGACCTTCATATCTCACCTCTGAGTCAGGGGTCATTGAGCTTTGCCTGGTCTCATCCCATGTGGGATCCCGAGCTCCTTCTGCCTTTTGGGTGCCTTTATGAGCATGGGGAAAGGCAATGAGGCCATAGACCCTGAGTTTGAGAGAGTGGGGAATAGTTTTCTTTTTCAGACCTTCTTTTCCTAAACAGTTTTCCTCCTCTGGTGGTGGAGTCTCTCCCCTGAGGGCAAGGCCAGGGGCTTTATAATTCCTCTGAGACCTCCCCTTCTATAATTCCTGGTAGGCCAGAGACCTGCCTAGGAAGAGAAGGACTAGACAAAGTCTAGGGAAGAGAGAGGACCCTCTTTCATCCTTGTCTTCCTCCACCCCAGCTCAGCCTGTAAAGCCAGAAGACCTGGACCTAGGAGAGAACTTGGAGGCAGAGAGAATAGCCCCTGAGACCCAGAGCCCCTCATCCCAGGTGAGTGCAGTCCATCCATGGACCTGAGCAGCACCAGTGAACCTGGAAGCCAAGACAGCCAGGGAAGCTTTATCCCATTAGAGCCAGGTTGTCCTTTGCAGTGCTGTCAGCAGAGCTGAAATTGTCCTGGTTCTGCTCATTTCTTTCTGCCTCCCACATAACACATCTCAGGTCTCTCTGAATCTGTCTTATTTGCCACTTCTGAGGTAAAGTCCGAGAAAGTGAGATTTTAGCTGAGATGTGAAGGAAGCCAGGAGGCCCAAGTGATGGGGGAGGACATTCCAAGCATGAGAGACAGCCATCGGGAAGGCACAGCATCAGGGGATGGAGGGTCTGGTCAAGGATCAGCCAGCAGGCCAGTGTCCCTGGGTCAGAGAGGAGGAGACAAGGAGTATGGTGTAAGAAGACTGGAAAGGGTTGAGGGGTTGGTCACATGGTGTCTGCCGTGTGCCAGGAGCCATCTCAATATTATTTCATTGCATCCCATGGCCAGAATTGACTGGATCCTTGCTCAGGAAGGCCAGAGTAAGGCAGCAGAAGATGCAGCTAGACAGGTGTGTGGCAGGGTTTTTATCCACCCCTGGGTGGGACCCACATTGTCAGCGGGTGTTGGGTACCGTCCTTCAGTTTTAGAGGTGACAGGTATATGCATTCATGTGTGTGTGTCTGTCCTTTTCTCCCAGGCTCCTCTGTCCAGAGAGGACAGAGGACTTTTGGGCACCGTCAGGTAGGACCCTTAGGCAAGAAGAAGGATAGAAAGGTGACCATTTTTTTAAGCACTGAGGATGCAAAGGCCCTTGGCGTGAAGGTGGGGCACTGACCTTTCCTGACCCTGTTTGGGGTTTTCCTGACAAAAAGATACTGGAGAGCTTGGCCACCTCCTTCTCCAGCTGGTCTGACAGTTGAAGAAACTGAGGCAACGAGGTGAAGTGACTTGCCTAGGGTCAGCCACGTCCTTAGTGTCTCAGACCTTCCCATTCCAGGCCCAGACTGTCTCCTGAGTCACCAGACTCCTCTAACTGGGGAGAGGCTCCCCCAAAGTGGGGGGAGTCCCCCTGCTCCCCAAAAAGAAAAGTCATTGGAGTGTTTTCCAAAGGGCCCAGGAGGAAAGAACTGATCCTATGTCTTCCACCAATCAGCTGTTAGCCACTGCCTCAGTTTCCTTCTCTGTAAGAATGGCATAACAGCTCCACTTCTCAGGGTTCTTTGGAGCTCACTGGGGCAAGAAGGTCACATTAGGCACCTACTGGATGCAGAAGGAGGGCCCGCTCTCCAAGCCCTTACAATCTAAAGGGGGACTGCCCAGAACAGGAAGCAGAAAAAGGGGTGGGGAGAGAATGCCTGGGACCCAGGGCCTGGTGGTGAATAATGTCACAAACCCCACAGCCAATTGTCTGATACTGGAGACAGGAGAGGGGGCTCCCTCTCCTGCTCCCCATCCCCCTCCTCACCCCTGCCTGTTGAGCCCCAGGGCATGCTGGGAATCTGGAGGCATAAGGGCAAAATCTTCCTGGGTGGTTGTTTCTGCTCTTGGTTCTTGGGCTCCGAGATGTTCAGTGTGCAGGGGCGGCCCTGGCCCCCCCCCATAGATCCATGGGAACCTGGGGTGCCCCTGCAAGGATTGCCCTTGTGGAGGAGTGTAGGATTGCATGTGCATGGCTGTATGCATGCATCTTCAAAGAGGGCTGGGCCAGGGCAGGTGCAAATGTGTTTTGGGGTTGGGGGGGACAGGGGGTGTGTGCATATGTCTGAGAGTATGATTGCATGTGCCTGTGCAAATCCTTGTGACTTGGGAGGTGTTGGGTGGCAAGGAGGGGGGGATGCATACGTCTGAGAGTATGATTGCATGTGCCAGTGTGTGGCAGCTGGGGCTGGGGAGTGTGTGCATATAACTGAATGTCCCTAGCTATGGTGGAGGAGGGACTGGTGTTTGGGCACCTGTGTCTGACCTAAGGGCCTCTGGGGTTCCAGGTGTGCCTTTGAGAGCAGAGCTGGCAGCTGGACACTGAGCTCCCAGCTTTGGGTGAGCTCCTCACTGGTCCCCAGGCTGCCCTGTGTGTGTATGGGGGGAGAACTCGGCTGCCAGCGGTTGAAGCATAGTCTTCTATCGCTGTGTTGTCAACAATTTGCCTTGGACTCCAACAGATACCATTGGACCCCAGAACTGCTTTTCTCACCCTGCTTCTCGCCTCCTAAGGGCTTCCTGCCCACAGAAGGCCACTAATGATCACCTGAATTCCACGCACCCATTCCCATCCACTTAAGTTCACTGACTCCCTCGATGGCCCCCTTGATCTCTCCAGCTCCTGTCTGACCAAATCCAGTTGACTTGGTTCCTAGATCTTCCACTCCAGGCTCCTGGGCAATACTGATCTTTGCAACACCAGCCTTTGCTCTCATCACCCGAGGCATCCAGGCCGAGCTTCCTTTTGGCTTTGGCCCAGTACTTAGTTCTTTCTGGAGCTCCTTGGCCTTGTCTTCTCTTCTTCCCCAGGAGCACACTGGGCGCCTTTGGGCCTGAGGGGCTCATCTTCCAGTGTCATCTCTTAACACTCTAATGCCATACTTGGGTTTTCTTGTTAAAGATACTGGAGTGGTTTGCCATTTCCTTCCCCAGTGGGTCAGCCTTTGTCAGAATGCTGCACTGTGGCCTGTCCATCTCAGTAACCATGGCCATGGCTCCTAGTTTCATTGAACCATGCATGCTCAACAAGGCAGAGAACCAGGAGGAGGACATAGAGTAGGCACTTAATACATGTTTGTTTGCTTGTTTCCTACATACAAAATATTTACAAGACTTCTTGCAGAAAAATGAGATTTTAGACAAGACTTAAAGGAAACCGGTGAAACCAGGAGGCAGGAACAAGGTGGGACAGCAGGGAAGAGGGGGAGGAGCCAGTGAAAATGCGGTGAGGAGATGGAGAGTCACCTGAGAGGAGCAGCAAAGAAGGCCAGTGTCACTGGATGCTGAGAACGTGGAGGGGAAGAGTGGGGACCTTCAGAGAGAGGTAGTAGAGTAATGGGGGAGGGGAGCTCTCAGGGGTGACCAGCCTTGGGGGTGGTGACCCAGGTGGAATTCAAGCACTAGGGTGGATGTTAGAAGCCTGAGAGGTGTCATTCCAGTGGCAATGGCATTCCAGATGATTGAGGACACGGCTTGTGGCAGAGAGGCAGGTAGGGTCCTGAGCTCCTGGCCCTGGGTTCCACTGGAGGAAAACTTTCATATTGGGGCCTTCAGAGGCAGGGCAGGTCTCTTGGGACTAGGAGGACCTACCTAGAGAAGGCTAAAGAAAACCAAAGCCCTTTGTGCTGAGATTTCTCTGCCTTCTTTCATTGGAGTAGAGATTACTCTGCCTTTCCTTGGAGATGAGATCTCTTTCTGAGGAGCTGAGATCTCTGTGCCTTCCATTAGAGCTGAGATCTCTCTGCTCTTTCCTAGGAGTAGCAATCTCTCTATCATCTTTGGACTTCCTATATCTCTTCCTTCTTTCCTTGGAGCAGAGATCTCTGTGCCTTCTTCCTTTTGAGTTGAGATCACTCTGCTTTCTTCCCTTGGAGCACAGATCTCTCTGCCGTCCCTTGGACCCAAGATCTCTTCAGCTTCTGGAAGTCAGCTCTGCATGTGCAGGTCCCAGGTAGGTCCCAGGGAGAACCCCTCTGTGCCCCCAGCTTCTTCTGACTGCCCTTTCCATTGACCTTGTCTTATCTGTCAGAACTCTGGGGAAGTGTCCTCTAGGTATGCTAGGAGCAGGCCTCCCTCCTAGGCCTGGCTCCCAGGGCGGTTCCCTGCCAATGCTATTTGTCCAGGCTCCCCATTGCATCTGGAAGGTCCTGGGGCACCATCCCCACCTTTACCATTGAATGGCTGCTCCACCTTCATAGGATCAGAGGGAGGCAGAGCTCTGGGTCTGGAGTCATTGAGGCTCTGACTGGTCTCCTCCCATTTGGGTTCCCAAGCCCCTTTTCCCTCTTGGGTCTCTGTAGGACAAAGGGGAGGGGAATGAGGTCAAAGAGAAGTAGTCACAGGGAGTGGCAAATGCTCTCTGTTTGCAGACCTACTTTTCCTAATCTGGCACAGGTGGCCTCCTCTGTTGGTTGCAGTCTTTCCTCTCTGGGCAGGAACAGGGCCTCTGTAACTCCTCGGACACCTCACCCTCTGTAAATTCTTGTAGGCCAGCCTTCTGCCCAGGAGAGAAGGAAAAGACGTCTGCCCCTCTGGGATCCTTGTTCCTTCCCAGTTCAGTCTGCAGAAGATCAAGGCCTGACCAAGCAGGGAGCCTGGAGCCAGAGGGAATGGCCCCTGGGAGCTGCAGACCCCCAGCCCAGGTGAGTGCACTCTGTCCTCAGACTTCACCAACATCAGCCCATGTAGCCAGTTCCATCAACACGGAGGATCATCTCTGAGGCTGGCTGTTTCTCTTACCTATGGATCATTTCTTTACAAAAACTGATATAAACTGAATTCAGTAGTAACCACACTGCCCTGCTCTCTTCTCTCTTTTGAAGTGTACCAGTGGCACTTTTTTATCTTGAGAACTTATTGCTCACCCCACACGCAGTTGCTGCCCTGTGTTTGTTTTTAGGTTCCTCCTCATTAGGAGTAACTGACAAGGGTGACCACTTCACTCAGTCCCTATCCCTAGGCCTTATGGCTTTGTTCTCTTCTTTTTTTTCACATAAATTTATTTATTTTTTGTTTTCAACATTTACTTCCACAAGATTTTGAGTTCTAAATTTTCACCCCATCTCCCCTCCCCACCTCAAGATGGCCATGCATTCTGAATATCCCTTCCCTGTAGTCTGTCCTCTCCTCTCTCTCTCCCCTGTTTCTCTTATCCCCTTCCCCTTCTATTTTCCTCTAGGGCAGAATAGATTTCTGTACCCCATTTCCTGTGTTTCTTGTTTCCCAGTTGCATGTGAAAACATTTTTTTTAAACATGTGTTTTTAAAACTTTGAGTTCCAAATTTTCTCCCTTCCTCCCTCCCCACCCACCCTCATTGAAAAGGCAAGCAACTCAATATAGGTTATACATGTGCAGTTATGCAAAACACTTCCATAGTAGACATGTTGTGAAAAGCTTGAGTATATTTCCCTTCATCTTGTCCTGCCTCCCCCATTTATTCTATTCTTTCTTTTGACCCTGTTCCTCCTCAGAAGTATTTGCTTCTGATTACCCTCTTTCCCAACCTGCCCTCCTCTCTATCATCTCCCTGCTCTCTTGTCCCCTTCTCTACCTGTTTTCCTGTAAGGTAAGACAGATTTCCATCCCCAATTGAGTGTGTATGTTATTCCCTCCTTAACCCAAATCCTATGAGAATAAGATTCACACCTTCCCCCATTTCCCCTCCACTGTAGGAGACCTTTCTTTTCTGTTTTTTGTGAGATAATTTATCCTGTTCTACCTCTCCCTTTCTTCTTTTCCTAGTATAATCCTCTCTCATCCCTTAATTCTATTCTCCAGATATGACACTTTAATCTCCAACTCACCCTATGCCCTCTATCTATCTATCTATCTACCTATCTAAATATCTATGTATCTACATATAATTTTTTCCCTCCAACTACCCTAATACTGACAAAGGTCTCATGAGTTATAAATATCATCTTTCCATGCAGGAATATAAACAGTTCAACCTTAATAAGTCTCTTATAATTTCTCTTTCCTGTTTACCTCTTCATGTTCCACTTGAGTCTTGTATTTGAAAGTCAAATTTTCTATTCAGCTCTGCTCTTTTCATCAAGAATGCTTGAGAATCCTCTATTTCACTGAATGACCATTTTTTCCCCTGAAGGATTATCCTCAGTTTTGCTGGGTAGGTGATTCTTGGTTGTAATCCTATCTCCTTTGCTTCTCCGGAATATTATATTCCATGCCCTGCGGTCCTTTAATGTAGAAGCTGCTAAATCTTGTGTTAGCCTGATTGTGTTTCAGAATACTTGAATTGTTTCTTTCTGGCTGCTTGTAATATTTTCTCCTTGACCTGGGAACTCTGGAATTTGGCTACAATATTTCTAGGAGTTTTCCTTTGGGGATCTCTTTCAGGAGGAGATCTGTGGATTCTTTCAATTTCTATTTTGCTCTATGGTTCTGAAATATCAGGGCAGTTTTCCTTGATAATTTCTTGAAAGACGTTGTCTAGGCTCTTTTTTTTTGATCATGGCTTTCAGAATTTTTTTGGTTCTCCTTTAGCAAGCTGTTGACTTGTTTTTCAAGATTTTCTTACATCACTCTCATTTCTCTTGCCAGTTTTTCCTCTACTTCTCTTACTTGCTTCTCAAAATCCCTTTTGAGCTCTTCCAAGGCCTGGGACTGATTCATATTTTTTTGAAGGCTTTGGATGTAGGAGCTTTGACTTTGTTGTCTTCTTCTACTTGTATGTTTTGATCTTCTTTGTCACCAAAGTAAGATAATATAGTCTGACTCTTTTTTGTGAGGTTTGCTCATGATCCCACCCAATTACTTGAGTTTTAGAGTCTTTGTTAAGGTAAGAATCTGCTTCCAATGTGGAGAATGTGCTGTCCCAAGCTTCAGGTGTTTGTATAGCTGTTTTCACAGATACTTGTAAGGACCTGTAAATTTTCAGTACTTCCAAGGTGGTATGATAAGGGGCAAGGTGTTTACTCCTTTCTTGGCCTATGCTCTGGTCTATGAGTAACCACAAGCAATCTTTTCTGTCTCGGAACTGTGAGGAGAATTTCCTTTCCACAGCCACTATAAGCTCCACCATGCCAGCGCTCCTCCTAACCCCAGGATTGCCACCCAGAAGTGTGACCCAGATCCAAGCACGGGCAAGGCAAGATATTCCTGCCTCACCACTGGCAAAGAGATCCCTGCAATCCCCCTCTGATCAACCACATGATTCCCCCTCAGTCTGTGGGCCTGAAGCTCAGGAGGCAGCGGCTGCCCTGGGGGCCATCCTCTCCTGAACTGACACTGAGACCTAGCTCCTCTCTTATCACAGAAACAGACTTTTCCCACTCACCTTCTAAGTTTTCTTTGGAGTTCCTGCGTTGAGAAGTCTGGAAACTGCCACAGGCTGCCCGCCATTCAATCTTCTGAGGCCTGCTCCAGGTTCACTGTGGCCTGACCACCCACATCAAACTGCACTCCTCTACCAGTCCGGTCCGATAGACCTTTTTGATCAACTATCCAGGTTGTCTTGGGTAGAAATTTGCTTCACTCTGTCTTTTTTTGGGTTCTGCTGCTTTAGAATTTGTTTAGAGCCATTTTTTATAGGTATTTGGAGGGGTTTGGGGGGAGAGCTCAAGCAAGTCACTGTTTTCACTCTGCCATCTTGGCTCCATCCCCGGCTTTGCTCTCTTCTTGCTTGCTTAGCCCACCTCCATCTACACACAAGTCTGTGTTTTCTGCAGAGCAGAAATTGTCCTCCTGGTCCTGTGCACTCACTCTGCCTCAGTTCATACACATCTTCCCAGGTCTCAATTCAGTCAATTCAAGATGGAGACAAGCAGAGGTCCTCAGGACCCTGGGGACCCTGGGGAATATGTACCAGTCCGAGTTGTCATGTGGTCGCTGGATCATAGAAGGAGACTGGAAAAGTGTGGTCAGAAATGGAGGAGGTAAAGAAGACACTGTGAGATTACATGGAATGGTTTTGAGATGAAGAGAATGCAAGCAGGTATTCCATAAGCATTTATTAAGTGTCGACTGTATGCCAGGCACTGTGCTAAGGTTTAAGGTTTCAAATACAAAAAACATAAGACTATGCTCAGGGAGTTTACATTTTCAAGGGAGACTGCAGACGAACTGGGGGGGGGGACAGTGTAGAAGACACCAGTCACTGGTATGTGGTGGAAAACTCCCAAGTGGTGGAGCTAAGAAATTAGAAGACAGGAGCTGAGATCTCCCCTTAAGTGGAGGTCTGGAGTTCATGGCGCACCCCATGTCGGTGAAGGATTAATGAGGCACAGTGGAAAAGGAAGAAGGCTGGGAAGTGCTTCAGTGGGAGCAAGTTCAAGATTTCAGTTATAGATTAATTATCAGACATTTAAAGTACAGCCTTCCTGTATGCAGAATAATGATTCAGAAGACCCCAGGGGAAAACCAAGTTCCATAAATGCTTGGGAATCTAAAACATTAAGGAACAACTAATATTCTTTGATTGTTAAGAAGTTCAATATTAGAAATAAAGGAAGTTAAAAGTGAAATATAGATTACAAAGAGAACAGAAATCATGGTTGAAAGAAGAAATCAAAATGATGAAAAAGTGGAGAGAGTTTTGTCCACAGGAAAGAGAATTGCTCTAAAGTAACAGAACTTCTGGAAAAGTGAATCATGTAGTTGTGCTAGAAATGGAACAGAATCAAATGCCAAGTGCCTTGGCCAAACTTGGGGTCTACTTGTAGCAGACTGGAACAAGAGATGACTCCTCCCCAAGGCTTTACAGATGTGGCCATTCTCTTATATCTGAACTCATTCTCTTAACTGTTCATTGCCAGTGATCGAGTTCTAGAGATAATTTTTTCCTAATAGATGTTCTGTCAATGTTGTTCTTGCAAATTAGGTCCATCTCCAGCCCCAGTTAATAAAATAATACATGTCCCCATCATAGTTACTCGTTTCTATATGACTAAACATGAGAATTAAGGAATGGCGCCACGAACAAGTGAAAGCAATCATAAAGCAAAGACGGCAACTGCTTTAGCTATGACACGTTGTACCTAGGGTCACCTCATGCTTTCAGTAAAACAGTGGCTCTTCACTTGGCTGGCAACAGTCCCATACCACTCAGTGCAGTCCAGCTAGTCAGTACGATCTCTCTTTTTTTTCCTCTGCCAGCCAATCATCCGATCAATATACATTTATTAAGCACCTACTCTGTGCCAGGCGCAGTACTAAGCACTGTAAATTCAGAGGAAGCAAAAGGCCGCCCCTGTTAACAAGCTCATATTCTAATGGGGAAGACAATGACGCAGACAAGCTATATGCAGTGAGCCAGTAAAGTCTTGAGAACGGCTGCAACCGCTTTGAGCAGAAAACTACCTTACCTCAAGTGGAGGCAGGGGTTAGGATTTTCTCTCACCATGCTACGGCGTCAGCATCCACTTTGGTGGGAACATCGTGATAGGGAGCTCAGAAGGATGCATCTGCAGTATTTCAATTCTCTTTTCTCTGAGGAACATCTCTTGTGAGTCCTCTTCATGCCTTCATCTAGACAAGACCATTTCAGCCTTTCAGGAAATTGCCTACAACCTTAGTTTTCTTTGTTGTTTCCTCGGTGATGTTGGGTAATGTTTTGTTCATCCTAGAATACGTAGTGCTTGCCAGCTTCCCACAAACTCTTCATAGAATTTTCTCAACCTACCTCTTACGACACTTTGATGAGGAGGAATTTCATGTCACCTTCTCTCTTTCTCCTCCACAGACTCCATACCTCACTGGTAGAGCACATACCTTTTCCTTGATTCCGTAGGAAAAGCATTTCATAGTAAGACATTTCTCCCACGTTTATTAATCCAACATGATTCTCACTTCAAATATAAAATGCTTTCCTCAACATTCCATTGGACTCTTAATGGCTATGGTTTCAAGTGTTGGCTGTCACACTCACAAAGGTTATATAAGTTTTGGGAAAATCCCTTCTGTGTTTCAATTTCCTCCTTGAATCTCCCCTCTGACAATCATAAAGGTTATGAGTTTTGGCCAAATCTCTCTTGTGCTTCAGTTTCTTCATGTAAGTTGATGAATTGGGCTAGATGAATTCTGGAGTCTCAGCTCTAAATGATGTGACTTTTGATGGTTTAGGAGTTGGTGACATTCCAGGATGTGGCTGTGGACTTCACTGAGGAGGAGTGGGGCCTCCTGGACCATTCTCAGAAAGAGCTGTACAAGGAGGTCATGCTGGAGAATGCCCAGAACCTGCTGTCTCTGGGTAAGGACCATGTCCTCTGCTAGCTCTGAATCTGCCATCAAAGCCATGTCTTCATTCCCTCCCTTAGTGTGCAGGGTTTGAGCCTTGTCAATGATTCCCAAGACAAAAGTGCTGGTCTCTCCACAGGGTCCTCCTGCTGCTGGTTTTCCTATGAAAGGTCTTTGAATTATGTGATGGCAATCAGTACATTCCCTTGTTGCTCCTGAAGTTGTCTCCCTTTTATTTTATGTAGCTTCAGGTCAAAAGTCAATCCAGTATTAGAGAATCTCAGACTTAGAGCTAATCTTAGAGGTTATATCTAGTCTAACCTCTAAGTGGAGCTAGTTTTTGCCTGAGAAATCTCTGAAAACCACTCATGCAGCTTTTCCTTGAAGATGGGCAGCAAAGGAACCCCCTAGCTGCCAGGGCAACCCTTCCTTTTTGGGAAGGGTCTAGGGTTTAGAAAGGTCTTCTTGTTAACAAGCATTATTTGGTAGCTCAGTGCTCCTAATCCTGGCTAGTGTTGGGTGTGAAATTCAACAATAAGGTGAACTGAGGCAATTTTCTGAGCAAGATTTCCTTTCTTAGCAGGGGCACACTGCCTGCTACTAAAAGGGTCCTGGCTCTGTCTCTGGCCAAAGATCCCAAGCAGACAGTCAGCTCCCCTTTTATAGGTTTTGGGGAATAGAGGACAAGGAGCAGAACGGGAAGATAGTGTCATGGGAGTGAAACCAACATAACTGGGTTCAAAGCTGTGGCACAGGGACCAATGGGGTGGGTTGGAAGTTTGGGAGTGAAGGGCTGGCAAAAAGCCACTCCTTCTTCCCCATGACTAAGGAATGTTTCTTGTCTTGAAGCACCTGCAAGATCTTAGAGATAACAGAGCAGACATGTTGGACATCCTGGAAGGAGGGTCTGGTGCCCTAAAGAGATTAGGCCCCAAAGCCTGGTATTCACAGAGGTCCCTCAAGGACAGTTAAATTCCTGGAGGCAAGAATGGATCTGTGATGAGCTGGAGAGCTGGATGTTTAAAGTTAACTCATTAGAGACCTGCTGAATTCTGAACTAAGTTCAGAGAAAGAACCATGACTTAGCAATTACAGGACAAAATAAAGGAATTGTAGATGGGATCAATAAATGATGCTGAATCGATTTAATCTTCTCACTAGTGTAGCAAGTTTATCTTTCTTCTCCTTCCTTGATCCCTCAAATTCCAGCACTGGTGGTGGGAAAAGAAGGGAAGGCAATAACCTTTTGCATAAATCTACTGTGCATCAGGCACTGTGCTCAGTAACTTCTAAGTATTTTCTCATTTGATCCTCACAACGTCTCTGCGAGTTTGGTACGATCATCATCCCTATTTTTTAGCTGAGGAAACTGAGGCACACAGAAGTGATGTAATTTGCCCAGGGACACACAGCTACTACCATCTGAGGCGGGATTTGGAATCAAGCCTTCCTGACTCATCCCAGGGCTCTTATCATTGCACTACCAGTGCCTCTAATTTCTAAATAATGGAAGCTATGGAGTGTATCCATTCTTCTATGAAAGGGGTGAACAGAGATGACATTTTCTGATTCCCAATTGGCTGCATCACCCCACAGTCCCTCCTCCAAAGATCCCAACCATCAATATCATGGAAACCATCCTTGAAGAATTCTGGGAACCATCCTGTGGTCCTTGCTTACATGTCCCCTTTCCCTAAAGAGGACCAAATTATGAATTTCTCTCCATTCTCATCCTTTCTATGTTCCCAATGCCTAGGGCTTCCAGTTACCAGAGAAGATCTGATCTCCTTCTTTCAGAAAGGGGAAGCACCATGGATTCTGGAACCAAAAGGCCCATGGAACTTTTGTCCAGGTGAGTGAGATGAAAGCAAGTGTGTGAGGGTTGTTAACAAGTGATTTATATTGTAATAAAGGGAGTGCCAGCCTAGGGGACAGAAGACCTGACTTGGAATTGTTTTTTAAATACTTTTTAACAAAGTGATCCTGGGCAAGTCACTGAACCTCTGAGCTTCAGTTTCCCCACGTGTAAAATGAGGTGCTTGGACATCATGGCCTTTCAGTTGCCTTCCAGCCAAGCAGGAGGATTTTATATTTGGCTCTCATGGTAAAGAGTTTATATTTGATCCTGGTAATAGTTGGCTATGGAGTTTATCGAATAGTCAATGAAATAAAGAGAGGTGTGTTTTAGGAAGATGAGTTTGACAGCTCCATGGTGGACTGAGTGGGTGAGTCCAGCCAGAAGACTCTTCGAATTATAATCCAGGCATGAGGCAATTCAGGCCTGAACAAAGAAAGTGGCAAAGTTGGCAGACAAGGGGAGGTATGGGAGAGATATTACAAAGGCATAATCAATAATACTTCACGTAAGGTTGAATTGGGGTGTGAAGTGTGAGTATGTGAGAGATGATGAAGAACAGAAAAAATCTAGGTTATGAGGCCAGATAATTGGGAGGGTGAGAGTAATAGGGAAGTAAGAAGAGGGAAATGTTGGGGGAAAGATAATGACTTTAGTTTTGGAATTCCTAGAATCAAGAGAAAGGGTTCTCACCAGGTCAGCTAGGTGGCACAGTGTTTCAGGAGGACCTGAATTGAAATCCAGCCTCAGGCAAGCCAGTTAACCTGAATTGCTTCAGGAGGAAAAGTGCTGTTACCAGAACCCAGAGAGAAGAGAAAATCCAGGAAAGGGGGATGATTGTGGCATTGACTGCAAAGAGGTCAAGAAGGATGAGCATTGAGAAAAACCAGTGCAGTAGCAATCAGGAGATGTTTGGTAGCTCTGCAGAGAGTGGTTTCAGCTGAGCAATGACATTGGAAGCTGGGGAGCAGAGTCTGGAAGAGAATGGAGGAAAAAGGTTGGAAACTCCACTTAGAGCCAGTAAACAAACAGAGATGGAAAATTAGAGAAAAACTGGGGATGACAGTGAAGGGAGTAAGCTGGGAGAGAAGATGGCATGAACTGGGTCCATTTCTGCATGTAAAGGCATTTGCCTTGGCAACCAGAGGGGCCACTTCTTCATGTGAGAGCAGGGAAAAGGGGAAAAGAAGGCATCTGATTTATGCAAGATGAGGAGGAGATGAGAAAACTCTTGGACATGTCCAATATTTTTAGAAAAATATGAGGCCATGTGTTGAGCTGAGAGTGTTGGGGAAGCAAGTCAAATAAGTGGTTTGGGAAGGAATGAAGAGATGTGGAAAAGCTACTCTAGTGACTGGGAGAGGGAGGCAGTTAGGGAGATGTAAAAAAAAGAAAAACTCCTTTGCACAGTAAGCACACAGCTGAGTAAACTAAATTTGTAGTGAGCCAGGCAGCCCTGTTTCATGATTTTCTCTATCTCCATTCAGCTCGATGTGGGTAGGAATGAAGTCCACTGCCATACTGGAAGTTGTAAGCCTGGGTTGAGCTTTAACAGATGTCTCAGACACAGGTACTGTGACTGCCCCAGTAGTCACCCAGGTAGAAAATGTCTGAGTCTAGCTCTCTGTCCATTGTGCCCCCCAGCTGCCTCATGGTGGAAAATAACTTTGCACCACAGAGGCAGCTTCCAACAGGGAGAAAAATGGATAAGAGACATTTAAGGGAGTGTTCCTGCTGGGACTGGGATGGATGGAAGACAAGGTGGGGTGAGAAGTGGGGTCACACCATCTCAATGCTCCATTACTAGTGTTCATTCCATCCCTTTCTCCCACTTCATTTTTCTTTCTAAGCACTGAGGAAGGGATAAAGAGGAAAGATCAGAGGATATCATGGAAAAAACGAATTAATTCTTACAATAAAATGTACATGGGATGAATGCCCCTATAAAAACAGAGGAGAGTAGCAGAATGCATTAAAAAGCAGAACCAGACAACACGTTGTGTGTATAAAAGAACCTTGATTCAAAGAATCACAAAGTATTGAAAATGAAAGAACGGCGTTCTGTGATATCTTTTGGAACCCTGCCCCTAAGCTCAGTCAATTCTGTGCCCTTTGATCCCATGACAACCACTAGACTCTAGATGTATATGTTAAAGGGATCATAGAAAGAGGAAAACTTTGTTTAAATGTGTATTTACACAACACAAAAACACAGCTACTGTTTTTTGGTTTTGTTTTTATTTTTTTGGTAAGACAATTGGGGTTAAGTGATTTGCCCAGAGTCACACAGCTAGTGAGTGTTCTGTGTCTGAGGCCAGATTTTGAACTCAGGTCCTCCTGACTCCAGTGCCAGGGCTCTATCCACTGCACCACCTATCTGCCCCTAGCTTCTGTTGTTGTTGTAAAGATCTGGAAATGAAGATAACGCCAATGATTGGGAAATGGCTGAAGAAATGATGATGTAAGAATATAATGGAAAATTATTGAGCCATAAGAATGGTGAAAGGCAGTGTCAGAGAAACCCCTGAAGAACTCTTTGAACTGATGTAGGCAGAAGTGAGTAGAACCAAAAGAATTTAATCTTTAGGAACATTGATCCAGGCAATGAACAAAGATAGTCTAGAGTAGTAGTTCCCCCAATCTTTTGTTTTTAGAACTCCTTTCAGGAACAAATTATGTTGTGAAGCTCCCTAGTGATTTAATATACTATTCATAATATTTTAAATTTATGCTTTTTTATTTTATGAATTTGGAATTTATTTAATGAGAATAACCTGGAAAACTTTTACCACTAAAGTTACAAATTAATACTTTCATTTCATTGTACAATTATAAAATATATAATTTTATTCTACTTTCTATTATATAATTTTAATATGATGCTTTCTAGAAGATTCTTTTTTTTATAGAAAGAGACCTCATGTTTACTGTTACCTCCAAGACTTCAATGTTAATTTATTTATTTTAATGATTTTTGTTCAATAGGCATGGAATTTTTAATTATAAACTACCATTTGGAAGATGTTCAACATAATATAATATACAAATTTCATTTCAAAGTTGGACTTCATTCTCTGAACAAAGGCCGCAGTATTTGGTTCATAACTCAGAAACCCATCTTTAATTTGGATCTGCATCAAGTTGATTTAATAATTATAATAACAAAAATAATAATAACCAGCAATTATATAATGCCTGCTATGTGCCAGTTACTGGGCCAACTGCTTTATAGACATAATATTATTTCATCCTCACAAAAATGCCTAAGGGTAGGTAGAGTTGTCTCCAGTTTACAACTGAGGAAACAGGCAAAGGTTGTGACTTGCTCAGGATCACAGTGCTAGCAAGTGTCTGAGTTGGAAATTGAACTCAGGTTTTCCTGACTGCTAAGTTCAATTTTCTATTCAATGTGCTACTACCAGTCTTTTGATTTTTTTTTTACCAGATTACAATAAAAATGCTCCCTCATATATGGACAAAGTAGAAAATGGGGGGGTAGAATTTTATAAGCTTTCTTGTTGAGAGATGGAAATTCATATTTTGTTTTTAGCCCCCAAACTGGTCAAAAAAATGAATGACTAGTAGCTATGTAAAAGATGTATTTTTCTATTGGCTAATGACAAGTAGTGTATTATGTGAATAAAAACAACCTTTATAAGGAAAGACCTCTTCAGACCTAACTTTCTTCTTTCTACCACTGGCAGATGGGCTATACTCTTTTAGAAATTCTGTAGAATGACTGACCTGTGCTGCTCAGCAGTTTTCTTGAAAATCCAAGAGGTGGAAGAGTAGTAGCATAAACAGAAAATAAGTTCAAATCAGAAAGTAACCCTAACATTGCAATGAGAAGAAATGTAATGTTTGTTTTTGTAGAATATGTGTAAAGGTTCATGATATTTTCAAAGATATTTTCAAAGAGCCTGCCATCTGCACTGGAAAAACACAAACATTTATAAAATCTTGATGTAGCAATTATAGCGCTATTGAGATAAGATTACAAGGTAACCTTGGAATGAGGCAATTACTCTGGTACAGTGTACAAAAAGCAAATGAGGGCCTGTGCATTTCTCTGACCATCCACTGCCAATCGATTTGCACTTATATGTGAAACCTTTCTAATCGTTTGGAAACAATTTGATGTCAGCTTGAGAAATTGAAAGAATGTTTTGTACTTTGTCAGGAGGGCACAGTTTGATAAGATAACTGCATGAACACCAAAACAATTATAGGCCTGATCATGTAAGTTTTGTAATCAATGAAAGAAATTTTAGAAAATACATGAATAATGGCTATCCTATAGAACTGATGTGCCGAAACAGAATGTATTATAATTCAGGAGAATTAAAAAATGTTTGGAAGTCATGTTATGGTCCCATACAAGGCAACAGAAAAAAATATTTTGAAGGATTCACTAAGGAAATCATTACGCTTAATAATTTAATGGGTAAATATTATGGATGTTCATTATATGTGCAGCAAATAGGAAAATATTGTTTTTAATCTAATATAAGAAAAGTTGTATGTAACATTGAATATTATTACGTGACAGTTAAAAAGAAGAAACTATTTCTCAACAGTGTATGGAATTTATAAAGAATGACCCTGTGGTAGCAAATGAAAACTGATTGGTACAAAAAAGCAAGAAGACGACCTGAAATTGAAAAAATAAGTAACAGAAAAGGCATTTGGAGAAAATATAGAAAGTGCGATGAAGAAAAGCCATCTAGTGCTGTGGAAGGAGTATAAATAGCCATAGTGTTTGAGTTCTAGTCTCAGGTACAGGGACATGGGTCAGGTCACTCAGCCATTCTGAGCTGTGAAGGCAGGACATGCAAGTCATGAGGACCTCAGAGACTTTCCAAGGGATCTGTTGATTGCTGCTAGGTAGATAAGGAATTTCCTCCTACTTTGTTTGTCTGAATAACTTTGAGTCTTTCACTCAGCCATCCAAAGCTCATGGACTGAGTTGTGAAGTGTAATGAGAACCCTACCCTGATGGCATCCTAGGTCTGTTCTGGAGATCCAGCGTTATTGTAGATGAAGCTCCTTGTAAATTAAATCGTATGGTGGATGTGAGGTAATGGCATTTTCAAGTGATTGAATCTGCCCCTTAAGGGTTGAAAATTCTTTTTGACTGGGGAAATAGAACATAAATCAGTTTCCTTCCTGCCACTGGAGGGAAGATGATATATTGATCAGTGTGCGTGTTTGTAATATATGTGGTTGTCTGTTCAGATGCAGTGACCAGGTCTGAAGTGAAGGTGACTTCTAGAAACCCAAGTATTTCTGTGGAAGAATCTGGCCGGCTACGATGCATGAGTGATGGTTCTTTTGACTTTAATTTGAAAGACAGCTGTGCCGCTGGTATCGGGGCTAATAAAAATCCAAAGAATCCTTGTGAATTCAATGAAGTTGGAAAGGGCTTCTTCACACAGTATTCAGTCCAGAATCACTGCAAGAAAATGACCCCAAGGAACGAATGTTTTCAGTACAGTAGATATGGGGAATGCTCTCCTGAACAGGGAGAGCTCGTTCAGTCCCATGAGAAGCCTCCTAAAATACAAAGACATCAAAGTCATCAACAAAAACTGGCTTTCAGCTTGAGTTCAGACCTCACTGGGCATCAGAAAAGTTATACTGACAGAAAGCTTTATATATGTAATGAAGGAAGAAAGGCCTTCAGCTGGAAATCTAAGATCATTAACCACCACAAAATTCACACTGGAAGAAAACCTCATGAATGGAATCCAAGTGGAACAAGCTTAACCCATCAATCTTCTCTTCCTTACCATCCTAGATTTCATACTAGAAGGAAAACACATGCATACAATCAACGTGGGAGGGCCTTTCATTTGAACTCAGATCCTGTTAGACATCAGAAGATTCATACTGGAGAGAAGCCTTATAAATGTAACGAATGTGAGAAGGCCTTTTGCTACAGATCACAGCTTATTGGCCATGAGAGAATGCATACTGGAGAGAAACCTTACGAATGTAATGAATGTGGGAAGGCCTTCTGCTACAAATCAGTCCTTATTGGCCATCAGAGAATTCACAGTGGAGAGAAACCTTATGAATGTAATCAGTGTGGAAAGGCTTTTACACAGAAGTCCTATCTTGATGCACATCAGAGAACCCACACTGGAGAGAAACCTCATGAATGTAATGAATGTGGGAAGGCCTTCTTCTACAAATCAGTCCTTATTGGCCATCAGAGAATTCACAGTGGAGAGAAACCTTATGAATGTGGTCAATGTGGAAAGACCTTCCGAAGGAACTCCCATCTTGCTGCCCATCAGAGAACCCACACTGGAGAGAAACCTTATGAATGTAATCAGTGTGGAAAGGCTTTTACACAGAAGTCCATTCTTGATACACATCAGAGAACCCACACTGGAGAGAAACCTTATGAATGTGGTCAATGTGGAAAGACTTTCCGAAGGAACTCCCATCTTGTTGCCCATCAGAGAACCCATACTGGAGAGAAACCTTATGAATGTAATCAGTGTGGAAAGGCTTTTACAAAGAAGTCCATTCTTGATACACATCAGAGAACCCACACTGGAGAGAAACCTTATGAATGTAATCAGTGTGGAAAGGCTTTTACAAAGAAGTCCGTTCTTGATACACATCATAGAACCCACACTGGAGAGAAACCATATCAATGTAATCAGTGTGGAAAAGCTTTCACTACTTCCTTCTATCTTTCTGTACATCACAGAATCCACACAAAAGAGATTCCTTATGAGTGTAATCAATGTGGAAAGGTTTTCCAGTGGAACTCCAATCTTTCTGCCCATCAGAGAATCCACACTGGAGAGAAACCTTAGGTATGTATTAAGTGTGGAAAAGCTTTCACTTATTGCTCCAGTCTTTCTGTATATCAGAGAATCCACACAAAAGAGAATCTTTATGGATGTAATCAGTATGAAAATGCTTCCCCATAGAGGATTCTGGGACAATGGCAAAGTAGGTCAGAAAGTTCCAGGCTCTGGAGATCCCCCCCCCCACAAAACAGATGAAATAGTGCCTCAGGGTGAATATTGAGCAGTAAAAATAAATAAGAGTAGGGGCAGAACAGCAGGTCCTCCTGGGACAATTGAAGAAGATCTGAAGAAAAGTCCCAGGTTGAGGTTTGGTCCCTGTGAAGAGTAAGCACCTCCAGGCTAGGTCGTAGATCTGCTTAAACTACAAGAGGCAAGCCCTGGGGTTAGCTGGTTTAGGAGGCTTGCTCAGCCCCAGCCTGTAGGAATTTGTACACCCTCCCCCCCCCCCACACACACACAGTGAGTGGAGTCAGGCTCTGAGCCAGAAGATGGAGGGAACCTCTGCTGACCAGGAACACCAGACCCAGTGCTGCAGAGATGAAGTGTGAAGGAGAAAGTGAGAAGGAACCAGCTCTCTCCTGGTGAATGAAGAAGCAGTGGGTTGGGGAGGCTGCTGGCTGTGGGCACTTAGAGGAGGTTGGGGGTCTTGGTTCCAGTTCCAGGCCAAAGGGAAGAGGTGAAGCAGGATCTGAGGTTAGAGGCACCATCCCCATACCCCAGGACTAGAAGTGATTATAAAAACTAAGCTACTAGGGCAGCAAGGGGGCGCAGTGGATAGAGCACTGGTCCTGAAGTCAGGAGGACCTGAGTTCAAATCTGCCCTCAGACCAAACACTTGACACTTACTAGCTGTGTGACCCTGGGCAAGTCATTTAACCCCAATTGCCTAAAGTAAAGACTTAAAAAAAAACCTAAGGTACTGCATAAGGCTAACATCTCACAGTATAGACCAAGATTAGTTCCTAATGAATTCATTAGTTAGCTATGAAAGAACACCTCAGTAAATTAAAGGAACCATGAAGAAACATTTCTGAATAGTGAAAGAGTTCATCACCAAACAAGGGACAAAGATCATAGAAAATGGTCGATTTTATCACAAAAACACCCAAAGCTTCTAAAATTTGAGGGGAAACAATTAACTGGGAAAAGATTTGCAGCAAGCTTCCCTCCTAAAGGCCTCCTGTCCAAGATACAAAAAAAGGAAATCCTGATTATAGGCAGCTGTGTAAAGAATGGCTGAACAAATTTTGGCACGTGGATGGTGGAACATGAATGTGCTGTGAAAAGACGTGGACACTTCACTGAAGCCTTGGAAGAGTTGTCTGAACTTCTGTAGACTGACTGCAGGGTGTAATTGGTGATACTCACAGAATCGTGAAGGCCAACAGCTTTGGAAGATGCCACACTTGTGATTATTATAATGATCAACCACTACAGCAGGGCAGTTACAAAGCCTCTCTCGTGGTCAGAGCTGATGGATACAAAATGGACACTGAAAAGTACACTTTGGGAAAGGGACAGTGTGGGAATTGATTTTGCTTGCTGCTGCTTTCTTTACCACTTTCTTTTTCAATTTTGGGTAGGAGAGAATTGTAGTTTGAAGGGGACTAGTAATAGGACTTTTCTCTCCCCTGTCTTCACCCTCCAAAAAATAATAAAGGCAATTGATGGATTTTAATAATATATGCAGCAGAACAGAAGGAAATCAGAGGGAGTGAGGATAGCTTTGCAAGTGCCATGTTGAATGTTTTAATTACTGAAAAGGAAAATCAAGCTGTGCACATTAGAACTTGTTTCATGTGCAATCCTCTTTCAGTTTTATGGTGTTTATAAAATATTCCTTTTTTCATATTTGTCGGTTTCAAAATAAAAATTTAAATATTGATGGCACTTTTTTTTTGCCAGTTTTGAAGCATGCCGAGAAATGACAAAATTCTCTGAATCTGACTTTATCTTTTTAACACCACTTGGATCATTTTCGGGGGCAGGACATGGCAGGGCTTCCCATCCTTTTAGCTCTCATCTGTTGGCAGTGGCCCCTGGTGCACATGAGCAGGGGATCTCTCCATATTTTGCATATAAATGGCTTTTCCAGGTAATATTTGGTATATTTTCCTCTCCGCAATTTCTCTTCTAATTTGACCTTCCTTTATTCTTTGATTTTGCTGGTGCTCACTTTCAGGCCCTACGTGGGGTTTCCTGGGCAGATACTGGACTGGTTTGCCATTTCCTTCCTTGGCTCATTTGACAGATGAGGAAACTGAGGCCCAAGGTGCTGTGGTTCACCCAGGGTTCCAGGCTGGATTGGAATTCTCCACGGCCCTGCTCCCTGGTTCCAAGTGTTGCTCCTTCCACCGCCCCCTAGCGGCCCTTTATTTCACTCAAACATTTGAATAGTTACTTAGAATTCTGTGCCACCTTAGGTGGGGTGGGGTTCTTACACAGCCTGGCTGTGCCTGAGCATTGACACCTTCTATGCCTGCACAACCTGAGATTCCCTGCATGCCCTGGGGGCTCTATAGAGGCCCCCTGAGGTGAGAGTGATGTCACAGCACAAGCATTCTGGGAAATGGAGTCCTTACAGGGGCACTCCAGTCTGGATGCTGAGCTATGAGGCCCCTGAGCGCATTGGGTTTTTTCAGCTCTTTCCTTTCGAAGAGCACCAAAGGATGCAAGGACAGCCTGGGGAGCTGGGTGCAGGAATGCCAGCTCTCACTGTCACTGGTGGCACACACCTCTCCTCTCTAATGGCCTGGCAGCCCCTGGGCAGGCTCTCTTCATCCCTCCTGGGCACTATGGCAGCAGCCTCCTTTGGGGTCTCCCTGCCTCCAGTCTCTCCCCTAGTCCCGTCCAGACTCCATCCGATCCATCCTGGCAACATGATGGGGATGCTCCCTCCCCTCCCACACCACTGTCCACCCAGGGTACAGTGTGTCAGCCGGACTCCCAGAGTCCTCACCTTGCCACAGCGTGATGCTGAGTTGCTGGGGATTGTCCTCTGTTAAGTCCATAGTTGGCTCTCTTCTCTGCTGCCAGAGGTCCTTCTCCCTGAAGCTCAGTAATTACAGTCCTGGTGGTAACACTAACAATTGGGAAAAATCAGGAAATGACAGTTGATTTGGGCTTTGATGGATCTTGGAGTTCTAAGCAGGGGAGGTGAGGAAGAAATGCATTTCATTTCAAGAAAGCTTATCTAATAAATGCTATGCATTGTGTTAAAAGCTGTCCATCTTTGCTTCCTTGTAAGTTTCTTTTGTTCTCTGCTGTGCACTTTTTATTTTGTTCTTTCCCCCCCCTTCCTCCCCCACAAAGAAGGCTACTATTAATCAAGGAGATACACAGAAATACATTCATACATACATACATACATACACACAAATACATACATACATACCTCTTCCTTCATAAGTCCAAGTCTTTCCATATTTTCCCAAGTCTACCAAGTTATCATTTCCTACACTGCAGCAGTATTCCAAGTGTATACTGTCTAGTTATTTCAAATAGTCTAAAACAACATCAATGAATATGGCTGATACATAATGTAGTTTTCCCATTTTTCCCTTTTGATTAAATTTATTTTAGCCTTCACTCTGAGGTCAGGATTACAACCCTGCTCCTTTTTGACTAACAAATTCTACTCCTGGTCTTTATTTTATATTTGTGTATATCCCTTATTTCCTATTCCTTCTGCCTCCTTTACTTTTACCTGCCATTTTACTTTGCCCTCCTATTACTTAACCTACCCCTGCTCCAAGGATCCCTCCCTTTTCCCCCCATTCCCATTAATCTAAACTCCCTTCTATAGACCTCTTTTTTCCTTATTCCATCATCCTCTCAGAGCTTGGTCTTTAGGTGGGGGGTGGGGCATGTGGAGGGGAGAGGAAGTATCCATGCTGGAGCAAGATGAAGAAAGCAGGCCAAAGAGTGAGGAAGGAGAGTGGATATGGCTGGCCTGAGCCCTTTCTTCAACACGGAAGTGCTGGGAGGATCTGACCAATTTGAGCATGGCCACAGGGGAACAAAGACCTTCCGGGCTGAGAAGGCTGATTCGGGTAGTGGAGAGAGAAGTCTGTGGAGTTAGGAGGAGAGCCTGGAGAGGAGTGAAGGAGAGTGTAGAGCCGAGGCTGACTTCTGGCTTGGGAAGCTATGACTGGAAGGATGAAATTCAGAGAGAAAGACTGACAGAGGACACAGCCAGATGCCACTGCTTTGTTCAGGCTTCCTTCCTGGGAAACCTATGTCAGGCCAAGCTGAACCTTTGGCTGCTGAAGGGGCGGGCAGCTAGGTGGCACAGTGGATAGAGCACCGGTCCTGGATTCAGGAAGGACCTGAGTTCAAATCTGGCCTCAGACACATAATACTTACTAGCCGTGTGACCCTGGGCAAGTCACTTAACCCCACTGCCTAGCAAAAAACCCCCAAACAAACAAAGAAGAGGTAGGGGGCTGCACTGGGCTGGGAACTGGGGGCAGGAGGTGGGAGTCATCCCTGCCAAATATCTCCTTCTGGTAATGCAGAAATTCAAAAGGTAAAAACCTCATTTTTATGAATATGCTTAAGCACCAGTTCAGGCCTCAGAGAAAATAGGAACTTTCCCTCGGATTCTGACAAGGCCTTTTCGAGGCCACAGTGCAGCAGAGGGACAGAGGAATCCTCCATTTCAAGGTTGCCATCTTGTGCATTCCCCTTAGGCCAGAACATTTCAAGAGAAGACAGATCCATAATCCCATACTTCCTTCTGTGTCTGAAAAGTTGAACAAACTTAGTTTTAAGCAGATCATCATCTCATACATTCCCTTCGGAAACAAACCTGCTCAAGCAAACTGAGTAAAAGAAGTCAGGTTACAGATTATGCTACACTTCATAAACTGTACTGAGAAGGAGGAGTTACATTGTAGCCAAGGAGTCCAGGACAGCTGAGATCCTTCCTCTGATTTCTTCTCTAAGGAACTTTGAAAGTTCTCAGTAAATGTGCACATTGCATGGGACAGGTTCTGGTCAGGTGAGATTACTATTCAGCAAAAGTTGCAAGGGGAATAAAAGGATATTTTAAAATTTCCAGAATGATAATAATAACTAACATTCATATGGTGCCTATTATGGTCCAGGCACAGTGCTAAGAACTTTGCTCTTATCACCTCATTTGATCCTCACAACAACCCTGGGAGGTGGGTGCCAATTTTATCCCCATTTTACAGATGAGTAAACAGGCAAACAGGTTAAGTGACTTGCCCAGGGTAACACAG